CTTTGGGTAGTTGGGAAGCTGGGGATATAGCTCAATGGTGGAGCAAGAGGCCCTGAGTTTGATTCCTAGTACTGCAAACAAACAAAAAGCTATAACTGGGAATTAAGCTACATCTAGTCTTTTAGCAATTAATTTGCTAAGTGAACTTGGACAAATCATAGACATCTAGAATAATCATTAGGTAGTAAAAGTTGCTTTACTTCTCTGGGGTATGTTGAGACTTCAAAACTAAAGTGAAGGAAAAAGTATTCTCACTGTGCAAACACATTAATATTAAATAATAAGGATGCATGGTGATAGTGGGAAGTATAGGAGCTTTTGGATTGTTTCCTTTAGCAAGTTGCTTCACTTCTTAGCCTCAGTTTTCTCATCTTTATAATGAAGAGATGTACTTTACAGGTTGTTGTGAGATTAGAGATGGCATAGGTCAAGCCTTAGCATAAGGCCAGACACATGGTAGATATCTCACAAATGGTAGCTATTATTAATAATCTGACCACCAGGCTTGCTTGATTGAAATTGCCTTACAATTTACAAAACAACTGACAACCAACAACACACACAGGGAGAACAATGCCAGGTGCAGAAACACACACTTGGGCTGGGGATATAGCTCAGTTGGTAGAGTGCTTGCTTAGCATGCACAAGACCCTGGGTTCAAACCCCAGCACCACCAAAAAAAAAAAAAAAAGAAACACACTTGTAATTCCGGGGTCTCAGGAGGCTGAGGCAGGATTGTAAATTCAAGGCCAGCCTGAGCAACTCAGCAAGACCCTGTCTCAAAAAAAAAAAAAGATTGGGGGTGTGTCTCAATGGTAGGGTGCCCCGAGGCTCAATCCCCATTATGGTGTAGTGGGGTAGGAGGAAGAAAAAGAAAATAATCAACCACCCAGTGTGGTCCTTACCATTCCCTAAAGGTGACTGCTGACTCCCCAGTGTGCACAAATCCTGCCAAATGCTGTTAGCAAAATGGTGGTGCAGCCAGATGGAACTCGGTTCCTCCTCTGAGATGGAGAGTGCTTTAGTGAAGGATGGCTGAGTGCAGATTCACTGGAATGGCTTTGACTGCCAAGTGATGGAAGGAGGGAGCCAAATGCAATGGGAAGGCTGCGAGCAGCTGGGAGGCAGTGTGTACTTGCCGACTCTTTGATCTTTCCCTGCTTCTGAAACATTTTATTCCTCTATTCTCCACTTAAGAGTCCTCTAGGCAATCAGGGCTGCCCACAGATCTCGCTGACATATGGACATCCCCTTTTGCTTGTTTGGTGTCATGAGGAATTCCTATTAGCTGCTAACTGCGGAGGTGGCCCACTGCACTCTAGAGGTTGTTGTGTAAACCTCCTTGAGCTGCTCATGTGCTCAGAACAGGTAAAGATTTCATGTGTCAAGCAAGTAAGGGAGACACAGCGGGAAGAGGCTTCTTAAACACAAGCCTCTTTTATTTTGGTTGCCACTTCTGTGAGTCAGGTTGGTCTTCTCACCACTTTACCAATCAACATCTAGCTATGTGGGTATTATTCATTCAACAGATATTTATTGAGCCCCATTATGTGCCTGGAATAATTTTAGGTTGTGACCAGGACAGACAAGCTCCCTGTCCTTGTGGGAGTTTACATTCTTGTGGGGAAAGACATTAACTCGTGTACAAATAAGCTAATTTAAGATAGTAAACAGTTTAATGAACTTATAATATGGTAGTGACAGGAGGTGGGGGATGACTTTTTATCTCAGAAAGGGACATTGGGACAAAGACTGTCATGCTACCTGAAGTCAGGTTCCAAGTAGAGAAGGACATTGATTCAAGATCCCAAATGGCACATTAGAGGACTAGAAAGCTAGCCAATGAGAATAAAGAGGAAGAGTACAGCAGATCCAGTTGGAGAGGCAGCACAAAGTGAGGGCCACAGAGCACCTTCAGCCCACATGGTGTTTTTGAGATTTCACTAAAAACAAAAACATTCTTGACTTGCAATTTCTTTGAAAATTAAAAAAACAACAAACAAACAGCCATATTCTGGGATGGGAACATTTGCTTCAAAGTAGAACAATTATATTCTGTCTTCTTCTGTCCTCAATGGGGCTATTATCAATTTGGAAATGATATTTACCAATCCTGGAGTACCATGTAGGTTTAATGAAGGATTGATTTTTTTTTTCCTTCTCAGTAATGGAAGCATATGATGACTTGGAGTGACTTAATTTTGGTTCTTAAAACAATCCTAATTTGTCAAAAGACTGTTGTTAAAGGTGGGAGGACAGGGCAATAATGAGGCAAGTGACTAGGGCCAGTGGAGACAGAAATGGACAGATTCTGTCCAAAAACTAAAAAAAATAAATATTAAAAATTCTCTCTTGGGCTGGGGATGTGGCTCAAGTGGTAGCGCGCTCGCCTGGCATTCGTTCGGCCCGGGTTCGATCCTCAGCACCACATACCAACAAAGATGTTGTGTCTGCCGAGAACTAAAAATTAAAAATTCTCTCTCTCCTCTCTCTTTAAAAAAAAAATAAAGAAATAAAAATTCTCTCTCTCTCTCTTTAAAAAAAGGACTGGAGATGTGGCTCAGTGACAAAGCGTCCCTTGGTTCAAAGCCCCCATGGGGGTGGGGGATAGCATTTAAGGATAAAACGTTAACTTAGAAAGTCCAAATTCTTTATAGATGTCATTGAAGGCCTTTCCACACTGTTCACAAACTATATTTCCAGTGCTAACTCTCACTGTTGCCAGGAATGAACCCTCTGCTCCAGTTATATCAGTCTGCTTATTACCTACCGTTTTATTTTTTTCACTTAGATAACATTCTCTTTAATCTGTGCTGTCACAAAATGGCTACTCAATACTTGAAAAGTGGCCAGTCTAAACTGTGATTGCTGATAACACTCAGATTTTAGAAAACAAGCAAAGAGGGATTCCCAACTCTGGGGCCCCTTCTCTTTGAAGAAGTCTCTCTTTTGCAGTAAACCCACTTTTTGCTTGGAAAAAAGAAAAAAGAAAAGAAAAAGTAACATTAGTAACCTTTAAATACTGATTACATATTGAAATGTTAATTTTTTTGAGAGAATTTTTTTTTAGATATATTTTTAAAATATTTATTTATTTTTAGTTATCGGCAGACACAACATCTTCATTAGTATGTGGTGCTGAGGATCGAACCCTGGCAGCACGCAGGGCAGCACGCATGCGAGAGGAGCGCGCTACCGCTTGAGCCACATACCCAACCCGAGAATTTTTTAATATTTATTTTTTAGTTATCGGCGGACACAACATCTTTCTTTGTATGTGGTGCTGAGGATCAAACCCAGGTTGCATGCATGCCAGGCAAGCGCACTAGGGCTTGAGCCATATCCCCAGCCCCGAATGTTAATATTTTTGATAAATCAAATAAATTATTAAAACTAAATCCACTTGTTTCTTTTTAGATTAGCTATTGTAAAAATTAAAATATATGTGGCTTGCATTATTTATTGGGTATTACTCTATTAATTAACCAAGGTAGAAGTGGGCTCACAATTCAACCCATTTTTGTACTTCTTTTATGCTGAAATAATAAAGTGAGAAGTGGGCTCACAATTCAACCCATTTTTCTACTTTTTTCATGCTGAAATAATAAAGTGATGAATGAGGGCTGAGGTTGTGGCTCATCGGCAGAGCACTCGCCTTGCATGTGTGAGGTTTGATCCTCAGCACCACAAAAAAGTAATAAGTGAAATAAAGGTATTGTGTCCAACTACAACTAAAGTGATGAATGACAGAAAAGTCTAAGTGTGGGTTCATAGATTTGAGGTAGGTGTACCCTTAGACAAACTGAAAGTGCTATCCCTGACCAACTGGCAGCTCAAGAAAGCAAAGATTTTTTGTGCCAGAGATGGAAAGAGTACTAATAACTTGTGCTTCTGCTCAACAAGTGTTAGACAACAACTTCTAGGCATCCACACTAATAAAAAAATCTATCCTTTGAATCCATCTTTCTCTCTTCTTCTACATCTAGTCACTAAAACAACTCTTCTTGTAAATTTCTTTTAATTCTGTTTTTTTCCAGTCCATATCTAATCAGTCTTAGTTATTACCTTGCTTTTGAAGATGCATTTTTCAAGTAGTCTCCCAGCTTCTTTCTTCCATGTTCATTTCATTCTATATACTGCAACTAGAATGACATCTGATATTTCTTTGCAGATTAATTCTTTGCTTAAAATACCTCCATTGATTTCCACATTGCCAACAGGAAGAATTATTTAGAATTCAAGGCTTTGCAAACTTTCTTCCTACTTCTATCTATAAAATCTTCGCTTTAGGGAAACTCATATATTGAGTTAATATATGTAAAGCACTTAGAATCCTGCCTGGCCTGTGCTAAGAAGTGTTAAGTCTTACGTATTATTTGAATATGCTGTCTGAGTATGCATTTCTGCCTCCAGAACACTAATTCCCTTTTCCTGTTTAAATACCAAATCTCCAAAGGAAGGAATAACTAAATCTATTAAAGATCAACAAGGGTAATTGTTTCTAATAGGAAAACTTAAATAATAATAAAAAAAACTTTAAATGTCCTCTCCATAATTAACAAAACCTATAAAAATGAATCCTAATTTATCACAAAATCAAAATTCAGACTGGATAAGATGGAAATAAAGGTAATAAGTATTTCTTTCATTCAAGAAACAGGAAATTTATGAAATGTTTTAGAGCAAAAGTAATTCTGAAAACAACATAAATGGATTCTAGATTAAGGGCACTCTCCAATTTTGGCATATTATTAGAATAACTTAGGAACTTCAAAAATACAGTTGTCTCTGCTGGGGTTAGAGTGTTTTGTCTAATAGGCACTAGATTTGATCCCTACTCATGTAAAAAGAAGAAGAAAAATAGTTGTCTGAACCCCATCCCACCCAGGTTTACTCAAGATATTTGACTTTTTCTTTTTTTAAGCTTTATAGGTGATTCATGTGTACACTTTTAAAAGTATCAAAGGTGATTCTCATATACATCCACGTATGACAATGACTGGTCTAATCAAAGGGAAAGTTTGCTTTAAGAAGGTTGAACATGTTTGGTATACATTTTTCTCAATGTTCTTCTAAAATTTTTTTGAAAATACAATATCCAGAGAACTGAGTAACCCAGAATAACTTTTGTGTTTGAGTAGTGTTCTTAAAACAAGACAAAATAAAAAATTCCAACCTTTTGATATAGGATTCAGAAAAATATATACATCTCAAATAGCAGAGTACTCATGTAAACACTTGTCTGTTTATCAGACTTATATCAATTTATAAATTTCAAAATAATTATGTAGGTAAATATATATTTAACTGTACACAATATTTACAACTTAACAGATTTTCAACTCAAAAGTAAACACTTAAGCCTTAAAATGTATGAAAAAGTTGGCACTTTGTTACATAACACTTCAAAAATTTCAAAAGCAACTTTACCTCAAAAATACATTACACCAACCTTCCAAAGTGCTACTGTTCCTGGCTCATTTTATCTCAAAAATAAACACGAGTATCCAAACCTCTAGGAAAGGAGTAACAGATGTATTGTTATACTGAAAGCATTTTTACTGCTGAAAAAAACTTTACAATAGCTACAACAATAGTGGAGCAGGCCTATAGAATCCCAGCTACTCCGCAGGTTGAGGCAGGAGGATCTCCAAGTTCGAGGCCAGTCTGGGCAAGTCAGGAAGACCCTGTCTCAAATTTAAAAAGGGGGGGGGGCAGGGAGCTGGGGCTGGGACTTAACTGTAGAGCTTCACCGGATCCAATTCCCAGTAAGGTAAGAAACAAAACAAGAAACCTTATAATAAAGCCCCTTTCACCCTCCAATCCTGAGATAACAAATCCTGTAGTTCTCCCTCATCGTCGCTGTCAGCATTCTCCTCTTCCTTTTTTTGCAGTTCTTTTATAGTCAAAACCTCTTTAAGTTTATTTTTAATCTCATCCTGGCGATTCCGCAGCTTTTCCACCCGACGGTAACATTCTATCTGCTCATCAATCTCCCCAATCTGGCGGTCCAACCGTCCCTCCTCATCCTCTTCAGCGACTATAGCTTCGGAAATAGTGTTGACCTGCCTCATGGCTTTTTGAAATTCCTCCCACTCTTTGTCCATTTGGTCCTTTGGAGCATCAACCTTTCGTACCTTTGCATCTACTTCAGGGTCGTCAAAAAATCCTTCCGGTAATGCTTCCGCGGTATTCTCTCTCCTTTCCACCACTTTTTCATGTATTTCTGCTTTCTCAATTGACCCTGAATGAGGAATTAAGGGGGCCTTGGGAGGATTGGTATTAAAGGAATCGTTTGGTAGCACACTACTTGTTGCTTCCCGAGAGGAAGAAAGTGAGTGTTCTTTGCCGTGTGTACTAGGCGGCAGCTTACTATCTCCTTTTTTTCCTTCTCCGCCTCCCTCCTCTTCCTCCTCCTCCTCCTCCTCATCTTCATAATCAGGGAGTAAACCGAGTCCCGAAGGTTTACTGGGTGTCGATCTAGCGGACTCTTTTCCTGTTTTGTCAAAGTTGGTGGACAAAGCGGACGTGGAGGGCTGTACCTGAGGAACCGAGGCCTTCGCTCTCTTGGCGTCTTGATTATCCGCATCCGACGCTTTCCTCTTGATGAGAAGAGACGCAGCGTTTGCAGATGGACCCTGGGCGGCTCCCTTCGCACCTTTCAGCTCGGACACTTTCTCTCGGTGCTGCTTTCCCAAGACGTGAGTCTGCCACAGGAGCTCGCTCTTTACCGGGGTGTTACAAAGGGCACAGCTCAACTGCCCCAAGCGGTTGTACTTCGCGAACGGAGATTCTATCCTTTTCCGGTTACTGCTCAGACGCTGCTTCTCCTTCATCAATCGTCTGAGTTCTTCTTGATTTACTACTCGCTTCCCGGCCGCAGGCCGAGCGGAGGCGGAGGACGCCATTTTTGCGACCAGATCTCTGGCGATTCTGGCTTCCGTCCCGGCGAGGCTTGATTGCGTCACTTCCTGATGGAGCGACGATTGGTCACAGCGCAGGAGAGGGCGTGGCGCCAGAATTTTACCTCAGAACCAGCAAGAAGGCTGTTTTTCCCCGCTCAACCGTTAGGCTATGGCAGCGATCAAAGCTATAAACTCCAAGGCTGAGGTGGCGCGGGCCCAGGCGGCCTTGGCTGTCAACATATGCGCCGCCCGAGGGTTGCAGGATGTGCTGCGGACCAACCTGGGTCCTAAGGGCACCATGAAAATGTGAGACGGCGGTTAGGGCACCAGGCGGTTTTGGGGTGATGGGACGTCCTCTGATGCATAAGTTCCGCGAAGACACTGGAGCGATCAACTTGTAGGCCTGGCTCCCTTTTTGTCATTTCTGACCTGAGAATATCTCTAGCCTGGTGGTCAGGAGGAGAAAAGCCTCCCCCGAGGAAAGAGCCCCCCCCCCCCAGTGAAGCCGTGACACCCGCTCTCCCATTTTCGTTAAGGTTTCTGTGGGATTAGAGAGCCAGTTCATTTGTCTCATTGTAAATGGAAGGCGTTTAACACCTCTTTCTTCCTCGCGTGCAGGGCATCGAACCCAGAGCTTGGTGTACCTAGGCAAATCCTGTCACTGAATTACATCTTCAGCCCCAACTCCTCTGCTTTTTAAAACTGTATGCCCTTAGTCTGTAAATTCGACTCTACCCCCCACTGCCAGCCCCGCTTCGTGGTGCAGGGGTCTTGTGCATGCTTAGCACAGGCTCTACCACGGAGCTAAATTTTTAGACCCAGGACAGATAGTCTTTTTGCATGGCAAGCAATGTGTTGTTATGGAAAGGGTACAGGATTTGGAGCTAGGCAGGCATAGGTTCAAATCCAAATTAATCTTCTAGCTCTGAGTACTTAGGCAAGTTCCTTGAATGCTCTGTGCCTATAATTGTTCGTTATTTTAGTATTTATTTAGCACCATTTTTTTTTCTTTTCACAAGTGGAGAAGAGACTGGTGAGAGCAAAAGGGTATAAGAGAAACATCCTGACAGCAAGGAGAAAACTAATATTAATAGTAGAAGAAGGCACTTACGCACTAGATGCTGGGAAAACAGATGACAAAGATAGTTTTAGTTCTTAAGGAAATCTGGTAGAGACAGATGTGCTAATTATATATAGATGCATATGATTATACTGAGGAAAGGGACTAATTACTGATGGCAGAAGGAAAAGCCTCTCAAATAACAGATGATGGGGCTGGGGTTGTGGCTCAAGTGGTAGCGCGTCTGCCTAGCATGCGTGAGGCACTGGGTTGGATCCTCAGCATCACATAAAAATAAAATAAAGGTATTGTGTCCACCTAAAACTAAAATAAATAAATATTTTAAAAAGATAACAGATGACGTTTGATCATAGTCTTGAAAGAAGAATGAGTTCACCAGTTGGAGAAGGGAGTACAAGTCCTCCTAAGTAGAATAATTTCAGGAATAAGAAAGCCCAACAATGTAAACATAACAAACAAAACAAAAACAAGGGGAAGTAAAAGACTTGATTTGTAGGTAGGTGGTAGATGAGGAAGAAAGATAGACAAGCCAGATTGGGAAAGGTCAAGTATGTCATTGCTAAATTAGTTTGGATTTTACCTTGAAGGTGATGGAGAACAAACAAATTACTGAGGGATTTTTGAGTCACATTGCCTTTTAGAAAAATAAATGTATAGCATGGAAGGTAAATTCAAATTTGGAGGTAATCAGGATGCTGTTTAAGCAGTCCAGGGTAGAATGATAATGACAGTGGGAATGGGGAGGGGGGGTTATGACTCAGAGATATTTAGATCGTAGAATTGACAGAGCTTGATGATCTAGCTTGGTGATGAATGAGGGGAACTAAGTTGAAGGAGTGAATGATTGATGACATTTACCAAAATAAAAACCTGCAGGAAAGTTTGCAAACATGTGCTTTGTTTCTCATACTCTTTGACCCAAGTTTCTAAATACTCAAGTACTCTCCGAATATTCCATTTGTTCTGAATTCACCATAAATTCATCTTGGGAGAAAGGATCCTGTGAGCAGCAAGTGGTGATAGTTACTGTGGTAATCCCCCATGGCATAATGGAGTTTTCAAAGCTCTGTTTCCTTTATTAAGGAAAGTGGAACGACAAGTGCTAGGAATGTTGTGTTTGACTCTTGACATGTGAAGTTAATATTATTACTGTTCTTTGAACAGGCTTGTTTCTGGTGCCGGTGACATCAAACTCACCAAAGATGGCAATGTACTGCTTCATGAGATGGTGAGCTGATGCTGTTGACTTTAATAAACTTTAATAAGCCTTAAGTAAGAACATGGTACAATTTGTATTCATTTAAGCCAAGGCTGTCAGCTAAGTACTGCAGTCTTGAGGTATGCCTGTTGGATTAAACCTCAATAATTTTTTTTTGCTGTTTCAAGCAATAACTTAGGGATATTTGCAAATTAATAATAAACTTAAGGCACTGTGTTATATTCTTTGTAATCATGGAAGAATAAAAATTCCTTTGCAATTTTCATAAATATTCATCTTTGAGATTGAAGGATTTAATCTTCTTTTGTAAATATCATTGCATTCTGAAAAAAGGAGTGTTGTAAAATGTTCAAACCTCATTAGTTCTCAATTTTTAAATTTTGGACTTGACATTTACTAAGTATTTGATAATATAAAACTTGTAAACTTGTAGGATCAAGCTTATTTCATTTCTTAATTATACTGTTGACCCTTAGGTTATCTTTTTGTAGCCTTCTCTATCTCATTCCCCTTTCTTTTTAAATCTGTTGCTTACTTTTTCTAGCAAATTCAACACCCAACAGCTTCCTTGATAGCAAAAGTTGCAACAGCACAGGATGACATCACAGGAGATGGTACTACTTCAAATGTTCTAATTATTGGAGAGTTATTAAAACAAGCTGATCTTTACATTTCTGAGGTATTACTATTTCACAGAATTCACTATTTTGAATGAAGTTTATAAAAAATAAAATGGTTTAATTTTAGAGAGAGTACAGGTTAATTTCAAGATATTCTTGGATAATTATAAATGGAAATAGCATTGAACTTCACCCCCCCAATAAATAAATGCCTTTTATTGGAATAATATGCCTCTTTTAAAAATGAAATGGTTAAGATCTATAGAAAGATAAAAAATTACCCATGTACCCAGGAGTAATGGCTTAAGAAAGAAAATGCCACTAATAAAAGTTGAAACCAAATTACACACCTTTAAAAAAATAACTGGAGGGAAAACCTTATTGAAAGTTTCCCATCTTGTGAATTTACCTACCTTTTTAGATTTATTTTCCTTTATAAACCATCTATTCAGATTCCTCCATTAACTAGCCTCAGAAACATCATGCACAGTTCTAGCTCTGTGTCTTTGTTTGATCTCTATTCTTTTCTTAGTATTACCTACCTGTTTCCTATAATTATTTGAATTTTTTCTCTTATTCAGAGACCTTTCAGCAAAGCATTACCCAGTTAAAGTGCTGAAATTATTGCTTCTTTGTGTTTTATTCAGTATTGAGAATTGTCTATTAATTCAGTACCTGCAATTTATCTCAGTTAGGATGCTTTGGCCGGTAAGCAGTAGAAATTAACTAAAACTCACTTAAACAATGAAGAAATTATTAAGCTCCCATAATAGAACATTAAGAGATAAGGATGGATCCAAGTTGAGTTGATTAAAAAATTTATTCAGTCATCAAGAACCTGGGACCTTTCTGTCTCTTAGCTCTTCCATTCATGGTACTGTTTCATCCTAAGGCTTGTTTTTATCTTGAGTGTAAGACTGTCAGAGGAAATCAGGGTTACTTGCTTCTTGGTAATACTCAGTAGGGGACACAACTTCTTTTTTTGTGGTTGGGCCAACTTTAGTCTTATGCTCATTCTAAACCAATAACCATTTAAAGGGGAATTGACTTAAATTAATCAGGATCTACTCCTTGACTGGGAAAAGGGACACCCAAACAATATAAGGTTTGGTTTATTTTGAGAGATTGGTAGATAATGACATAATAATGAAACTGGCAGTTGGTGATAGAGCTAGGCACAGGATATGGCAGAAACCCTGAGGAGGAAAGGATTTCCTAAACTAAACTGTTGTAGTCAGAAAGCAACTCACTGGAGGAAGTAAGTCCTGAGCTAAATTTTCAGGATGGAATGAGCCAGATGAAAGAGTGAGGAGCAAGGAGAATGGCATTCCAGACAGAAGGAACAACATAGTGTTTTATAGAGCAGGCGGCAGTTTGATATTGCTGGAGTTTATAATGATTTGGATGGTAGCAGAGAAGAGGCTGGAGGAGGTGGGAGCCAGATCACAGAGGGTGGTATGTTAACCAGGAAACTTGCACTTTATTCTGATTTGAATAGACTAAACATGTCAACATAGTAACATCATATTGGCATTTTAAATGTTTGGGGACAATTTTAAGGGCGTCATGACAAGAGAGGTTCTAGTAGTCCAGATGAGCAATTGTGATGTCCTGGACTGAGGAAATTTTTGAAAATGGTAATAGCGAGGCTCTAGAGTCAAGTCTCTTGGGTTTAAATCCTGGCTCCACTTTTATAAAAAAATGTTTAGTGATACACTGTAGTTTTACATGTTAGTGGGATTTGCTATTACATATTCATTCACACACGCATACACGTAATTTGGTCAATTTCATTCCCTGGTACATTGCTCCACTTAACTAGTTTGCTAATCTTAGGCAAATTACATTATTCCCTTAAAATTTGGTCACTCACCTGTGTGTAGTGGGAGTAATAACTATCCACTTCATACTGTTGTTGAGAGGATTAAACTAATTAATTCATGTAAAGCTCTTAGGATAGTGCCCAGCACAAATGTTCAATTAAATGTCAACTTTTAAATATTATAGGAGTGACATAAAGGAATGGTGGGAATAAATTAGAAATTGTACCAGCCTTCACAAAATTTGTTAACTATTTTTTTAAAAAATATTTTTGTTATAGATGGACGCAATACCTTTATTTATTTATTTTATATGTGGTGCTGAGGATCAAATCTAGTGCCTTACACATGCTATAGACAGGTGTTCTACTACTGAGCTGCAACCCCAGCCCCTATTTATTATTTTTCAGAGTAAATAATACTGTTTAAAATTGTTTTGTCAGAATTTCAGATCTACAGAAAAGTTGCAAGAATGTTATCCATATTCTCCAATTGTTATAATTTCTCCATTCTTGGCCTTGCTCTGAGATATTTTATATATATATATATATCACACACACATATATATATATATAATTTTGTATATATAATTATATATAACATTATAATAGAGGAAATCATATATATCACTGTACATATCATACATATCATATTGTACTATATATCAGAGGAAATAATATATTTCATTTTATGTATCTTTTTCTAAATGATTTGAGAGTAAGCTGCAGATATGATCTATTTCAGAATTAGTCGGTGTACATTTTTATAATTAAGGATTCTCTTATATAACCACAGTGTAATTACATAAAACAGGAAATTAATATTAACATTGACTCATTCAAGTAGTACTATTATCTAATCTGCAGATTTTATTCAAATTTCACCACTGCTTCCAATAGTGACCTTTATAGAAAAAGAAAATCTAGGATCATGCATTGCATTCAGTTGTCATGTTCCTTTAGTCTCTTGTAAGCTGAAATAATTCTTGAGCTTCCTTTTATGCTTCATGACATTGCTACTTTTAAGGACTATAGGCCAGTTATTTTATACAAAGTCCCTTAATTGGATTTGTCTCTTTCCTCACAATTATACTCAGCTTATTAATTTTTGGCAGGAAAATCACAGAAGTACTGTTGTGCTCTTCTGAATGCATCCTATCAGAAGGCACATGATGTCTGTCTATCTCATTACTGTGATGTTAACTTTGATCACTGGGTGAAGGTGTTGTTAGCACTTTTTTCTAAATGCTTAGCATTAAAAGGAGCCTTTTTTGTTGTTGCTGTTGTTGGAGCTCATTTAGAAGGGCACCACATGACAATGTAGTCATAATTTTTGGAAATAGAGCAACTTTATCTTTTATAAATTGCTCATTTACATTTAGTGGCATTAATGTGGCTGACATTACTTTTTTAGAATATATTAATAAGAGAGGATAGTTACTTTTGACTTTCAATGATTTACTTCATAATTTTAAATTTCATGTTGATGTAATAGGGCCTGCACCCTAGAATAATAGCAGAAGGATTTGAAGCTGCAAAGATAAAAGCACTTGATGTTTTGGAGGAAGTTAAAGTAAAAAAGGAGATGAAAAGAGAAATCCTCTTGGATGTGGCTAGAACATCTCTACGGACGAAAGTTCATGCAGAACTGGCTAATGTGTTAACAGAGGTATGTGATTAAACTTTTTGTATTGAGAATGAGTATAGCCTAACACATGATGATATTTTTTTTTCCTAGAAGACAGCCAAGATTTGCCTGTGATTCTTTTGAATGTACAACAAAATAAGGAGATAAACACTTACAGGCTTATGTATAGACATTAATTGGTCAGAATAGTATTTGTAGTTTTCCAAAAGTGTCATATTAACACTTATGTGACTTGAAAGTTGGGAGGGAGTTGGCCTCCTGTAGATTATCTCCTATGGGTAGTATACTAGTCTAAACCTAGAAGAGGTCCATATTTTGTTATATGGAGTGACACATGAGGAAGTTGTTTTTGCATTGTGTCTTGTGGTTAAGGTTACTACTTTTACGAAGCATGATTGAGCTGATATATAATATTCACATTTGGGAAATGTGTGTTTGTTTTCTTCTAAAGGAGGAGCATATGTAATATACAGACAAGATTGGTTGGATATTTTAAGAAGGCTTTTATCAGGTGGTTATCATTTGATGACATCATTATTGTTCCCCAGCTTTGCAGTTTCTAAAACTTGACCGTATTAAATGTATCAGAAATGATGAATTCATAGTAACCAAACTCATATTTGTATCTCCAAAAGAAAATGGTGCTTCTGCACAGCAAAGGAAATACAAAGCAGAATGCTATCTTACTAATTTGAGAAATACAAATGCCAAATGGACTGAAACACCTGAGTTGCCTCTGCTTCATTCTCCTTCCCAATAGGAAAAGTGTGGGAAATTGGATTAAAATCAGACAATTTCTTGCTGAGCAGAGTCAGAAGAAGCAGCTACATTTTCTGCTGTTGGAATACTCAAGTGGTTCAAGATCTCTGGTATTTAGGGCAGTCATTTTCTTTCTTTCTTTCTTTTTTCCTTTTTCCACATTTTTTACTGGTGCATTATAGTTGTATAAAATGATGGAATTTATTGTTACATATTCGTACATGCACACAATATAATGATATAATTGGCCAATATCACTCCCCAGCACTTCTTCCTTCCTCCTTTCCTCCCACCTTCCTCTCATCCTTTCTTCCCTTTCCTCTATTGATCTCCCTTTGATTTTCATGAGATCCTCGCCCCCATTTTTATCTTTTTCCTCTCTAGCTTCCACATATGAGAGAAAACATGATCCTTGACTTCAGTTTAACCTATGTTGCTTTATGAAACAGTGTCTAGTTTCATTCATTTTCCTGCAAATGATATAATTTCATTTTTCTTTATGGCTGAATAAAACTCCATTAGTATATTTCCACATTTTCTTTATTCATACATCTGTTGATGGACACTGTAGCTGTTGTGAATTGTGCTGCTCTACACATGGGTATAGACATGTCTCACTATAGTATGCTGACTTTAATTCTTTAGGATAAATACGAAGGAGTTATATAGTTGGGTCATGTGGTACTTCCATGCCTAGTTTTTTTGAGGAAACTCCATACTGATTTTCATAGTGATTGTAATAATTTACAATCCCATTAACAGTGGAAAAGTATTCATTTTTCTCCACATCCTCTCCTTCATTTATTATTTGTATTCTTGATGACTGCCATTCTGACTGGCAAAAGATGAAATCTCAGTGGAGTTTTGATTTCCATTTCCCTAATTGCTAATGATGTTGAACATTTTTTCATATATTTGTTGGTCATTTATATTTCTTATTTTGAGAAGTGTTTGTTTAATTCATTTACCCATTTATTAATTGGGTTATTTTGGGGGGAGATTGTTAAGTTTTTGAGTTTTTAAATATATTCTAGGGCTGGGGATGTGGCTCAAGGGGTGGCGCACTTACCTGGCATGCGCAGGGTGCTGAGTTTGATCCTCAACACCACATAAAAATAAAGATATTGTGTCCACCTCAAACTAAAAAGTAAATGTTTTAAAAATATATTCTAGATATTAATTCTCTGTCAGAGGAGTAGCTAGCAAAGATTTTCAGTCATTCTAGAAGTTCTCTCTTCTCAGTCTTAATAGTTTCCTTTGCTGTGCAGAAGCACCATTTTCTTTTGGAGATATAAAACCACTTATGTTCTTACTACTCAGTGACCTTTGTCTTATTCTCTAATAAGTGCCGCAATTAAGTATTATGTTACTGCAGGTAAAATTTTCTAAGATATAGTGGGTTTTTTGTTTTATTTTAGGGTGGTTATACCTTAGCTCTTAATTTTCATAATTAGTTTTTTTTCATATTATTTTATTAATAAAGTGGTTAAAAAAGAAGTAGAAAAACCTAACTTGTCCCAAGAAAACTGCATGAATAATCAAGACTCTTTCCACAAAAAATGTGGAAGACGAATAACCAGACTTCTTCAAAATAATTATCAAAGTAAAAAGTAACTGGCTCATGGTAGTGAAAGGCAAAAACCAGTCAATGCATGTTGAATTATTTTCTGAGCTAACCATAATATATGTTGTGTTTTGGAGCTGGGGTTGTGGCTGAGTGGTAGAGTGCTTGCCTAGCACGTGTGAGGCCCTGGGTTCAATCCTCAGCAGCACCTAAAAATAAATAAAATAAAGGTATTGGGTCCAGCTACAGCTGAAAAAATAAATATTTTTTTAAAAAAGATATGTTGTGTTCTGCTTTTAAAATTGCACAGCCCTGGGGAAATATAGAAAAATAAATGAGACAAGTTTTCCTGGCATGTCAATTTTACTTTACTATTTGGGTGGAAGCATTATTTTCACATTGAAATAAATGTGTGGCATGACCTGGAAACTTTTCATGGAAAAACATGAGACTGAAAAATGACATGTTATTATAGGCAGCAAATTTGAGCTCTTAGATTGCATTTCCTCCTTTTCTATTAAGGTACCCTTTGGTGGAAGAGGTTATATAGTGTTAGTGAGGCAGAAATAGCAGAAATTGACATTAACAGAGACCTGAATTCTAGTCCTGGCTCTGCTACTATTATTTTAAAACTGTAATTTCTTAGGTTCTCTCAATTTTCTTATCTATGTAATAAAGGATTTGGACCTGATGATCTCTGTAGTTCCTTTAGACTCTAAAGTATCCATGGATATTATTTTTTGTCAGTGTCTACAATAAAGTGCTATTTGTTGGCTTTGCCTTATATTTTGAAACCTGAGAAGCCCTTTCTGTGTTTGGTGATTGATTATGGGGGCCAGGTTTTTTTTTTTTTTAATAGTCCAAATAACCAACTATCCTCATTCACTTCTCTTTCAGGCTGTGGTGGATTCCGTATTGGCTGTTAGAAGACCAGGTTATCCTATTGATCTCTTCATGGTGGAAATAGTGGAGATGAAGCATAAAGCAGGAACAGATACACAGTAAATTTTGACAATACATGGGTTTAGAATATTTGGTTTTCTTCAAATATTCTTTCATTAATTTCACTAGTTGTTTTACCTCAACATTAGTCTATTCATTCAACATTCATTGACTGGTTTTTGCCTTTCACTACCATGAGCCAGTTACTTTTTACTTTGATAATTATTTTGAAGAAGTCTGGTTATTCGTCTTCCACATTTTTTGTGGAAAGAGTCTTGATTATTCATGCAGTTTTCTTGGGACAAGTTAGGTTTTTCTACTTCTTTTTTAACCACTTTATTAA